AATATGTGTCCTTCATAGGTGCTAATGAATGAAATTTAGCCTAACACAAATTAGAAACCCAGATCACATTATTAAGACGATGAAAAGTTCCCCCTTAGGTTTTTCAATCATATTTCATCTTGTTCAAGTTTTGAATCAGCTCCAAACTTTTCTGTCATCACTTATAAACTGCTTGATGTTGTCTTTTTTACCCTGGAAGCTACAGAAAACTTTTTTTCCCTTCAAAAGCTGTTCTGTTCTCTGAATGTGCTGATGCAACCATTCAACAACAAGATCCATATGGGCTTTGTTTAATGCAGAAATAAAGCATTTACCACATAAAACAAGCAGCTTTCTTTGAGCTTCATTTTCAACTGGACTAATAAGCATTCTTTTTTAGGATCTTAAGATTTTTCCTATCCTTTTCTTTATGTAAAGTTGAGGCTTGATAATTTGTTACTTGGTAGATGTTGAAGCCATCAAACCTAGTTTCCTCCTGCTTTCAGATAATAATTTACATTGAGTACTACGATCATTTGGGTATTTCCAAAATTTGTGCCTCTGTTATTCACTTGATTTAGCTGATCCACATCATTATTACTTGCATATGATATTTGGATGCCAAAATCTGCATTACAAATAATAGAAACTGTATGAACCTATACTGCTGTATGAACTTAATAGAACCAATGCTACTATTTTTCCCCTCAACAAACAAAACAATTTTATCTATAATGACACACAGTTTGCAGAGGAATGCTGAGAGTGGTCAAATCCTGGCTTAATAAGCAATAGACAGCCACTTTGATGTTCCACTCCTCCTTGGGTGAGGGAATGAAACAAAACAGGAAACTACAGTTAACCAAAAATTTCCCATTATGTTTTATATTATATTTGAATTGGGAACTATAATTAATGGCTTTCTAACAAGGTGGAATTAAGAAACCAACTTGAAACCATGGTTTTGATTAGACATCCTTCACTATACTTAAGTCTCCATTGTATTTATTTATTTAAATTTTTTCTGTACTGTCTATATTTCCTTAGAAGATCCCTAGACAGTTTGGAACAGTAAAAACATCAGAACAATTAATAGTACTTGATTAAAATATAATTAAATCACACACACACAATTTAAATACTGGCTAAATAAAAATGTCTTGGTCTGGGACCAGAAAGAATGAAGAGTCAGTGCCAGACCATCCTCTCTGGGGAGTGTATTCCACAGTGGAGGTGGCACCACTGAGATGGTTCTTCCCCTTGTAACAGCCCTCCTTACCTCCTTCAAAGAGGGCTTCTGGAGAAGGTCTTCCATAGAAGTTCTTAATGACTGGGCAGGTGTATACTGAAGGAGGTGTTCCTTTAGATAAACAGGTCCTTAACTGTTTAGGGCTTTATGGGTTATTGTCAGCAGCTTAAATTGGGCTCAAATCAGTAGCCAGTGCAGATAGTACAGGACCAGCATTATATGGTCATGTCTGCCTGTCCCTATCAATAGTGTGGCTGCTCTGTTTTGTACCAATTGAAGTGTTTCAATCCTCTTTAAGGGTAGCCCCACATAAAGTGCATTGCAATAGAACAGACTGGAGGTTACCAGTGTGTAGGTCACTGTTGCCAGGGTCTGTCCATCCAGATTTGGACACTGCTGATGGACCAGCTTCAACTGGAGGATGGCGCTCCTCGCAACAGAAGCCACCTGAAATTCCAGGGAAACCTCCCAAGATATATACCCTGTCCCTTACGGGGAGTGCAGTCCCATCCAGAAAAGGGCAGTTCTCACTCACCTGAATAGGTGATTCACCTACCAGTAACACCTCTGCCTTATCTGGATTAAGCTGGCCCTTAATTAACTGTATCAGGCCAAAGAATTCCTAAATGCTAAGTTCTACTTTATGGGATCTTGTTCTTTTGCATGAAAGGACATATTTTAGTTTTGTGAATATGCCACTGTTACAGGAATGGACAGCAATGGGATCAAGGCACCTTAAGAATCGGACAGTTCAGGTACCAACTTTGTTTGGACTACAAGACAGGCATTGTGGGTAATGGTGCAGCAACTGCAGCTTCAGGGTCAGAAATGACGAACAGCTCATAGAATTCTGTGAAGCCAAGCATCCGTTTATTGCAAATGCATGCTTCAGGCAACTGATTGGATGAGTTTACACATAGGCATCACCAGATGGCCAATACAGCTGTAGACTATAAAGCTTAGATTTCTTCTGAAATGCTTTGACATGCTCCAGGAAGCAATGTATACTTGTGATACTATCTCAAGTGCCTCTTTGTTTTGGGAATCCAGTTTATATATCAGGCATCTCTCACTCCATATACTGTAAAATTCTTTGTTGTCACACCTTGAGAGTCACTTAGCTTACATGGGAAATAGATGCTATGGTCATATAGTTGTTGCATTCCTTAACATTTCCTTTCTTGGGAATTGGAATATACCTCAAGTATTTCCAGTCTGTAGGCCACTGAGTAGAACTTATCCTACTCTTTTCCATCTCTCATCCCTCTAAGATGGGTTTCATCAATTCCAAATAGTTATTCTATAATTGCCAAGATTAGGATTAGCCATAACTGTTACAATTTAGTCCAGAGGCTCTAGATACATTTGGCAAATGTATCCTGCAGTTGTGATTAATGTTCTCCTTTTGGACCCCAACCTTGTTTATAGAAACAAAAACATTTACAAATGTTCTGCACATGTTATCAGCTTCCTGTAGTACAAAACTGTTGACTTACAACCTAAACAGTATGTTAGGGTTTCAAACACTTGATAACATCTGGAAGAAGAATTATTTTTAATTTTATTGTAAAATTTCAATCACAAAAAAGAGGAGAAGGAAAGGAAGGAAAAGAAGAAGAAATAGAATATCCTGTCACAGTTAAGGAGAGAATATTCATGTATTTCTGAACAATATTGTAGTTTTCATATGTTCTTCAGCACAAAGACCCACATGATACTGTTTGCTTGTGGGATAAAAAAAGCTGTGCTTGTTTTCAAATCAGCTAGAAAATGCCAATGTAAATTCTGATACAGTGTCCCTTCAAGTGTGAACTGGCATAGCATTTCCTGAGCCATAATAAATACATACTCCAGATCTGAAATAAAGCATTTTTAAAACTGTGTATGTGAGAGTGTACATGTATGCCATTGAAATGAAACTAATAAGTAGTGAAGTGGAAAAGAGTTGGATCACTGAAATAGATTAGTGGCTGTCAGCATATCATGCACAGTTCTTTAGCAACTCAGTTCTTTGGGCTCCTAAAATAAATTAGAATGTTAACATGTTTTAGTCCTTTTGTTTATTCTTAATTTTTTAAAATGCCAGACATGCTATTATCTTTAAAGTGTTCCAGGTACTCCAACAGAAAGCTAGGATCAGAAAATGTTCTGATGCAAACTGAAAATTTTCTCATAAAAATGGCCTTGTGCACATTAACCCATCACTGATTAGCCCCCTCCCTCAGTGAACCTGTCTTCTTGTTCCTCACAGCTGCTGTTGCTGCTCATCCTCTTTCACATCATTAATAGTGCTTGTTTGTTCGTTTTTTGCTTGACAAGCAAAGAACCAATCAGCATGCAGCCAGTAGGCTCTACTGCTTCATTTTCTCACCATAACCATTGCATGGGCCAGAATGCAATGATTGCAAGAGGATGAGGCATTTGTCAGAGGGCCCCTGTTTCAGTGTGGGTTCTTGGCAGGTACCCAACCATGTGTACCTTTTATGCCAACCTTTGTGAGCTAACAAGATAATGGCGGTTGTTGATACCTGTGGACGTGTTCCACCAATTTTGCAACATGAACATTTGGATTTCTAGCTGCAAAGATGGAAAACAGCTTTGTCCTTGGAGCTGGAGTTTTGCATTTGCCATACCTAGCTTCCTCACCCTCAAACAGCTGAACTGGAAGGAAGTGTACCAGATGTACCTCTGAGGTTATAAGACTGAACTTGGAGAAGAGTTTAGAGTGGGGAAAGGAGGAGGTCAATGCCACTGAAATACAGCATATTGTGGTGGCATCTCAACCTCCTCCCCTTTTCCTCTGAAGCACAACAGTTATACAGCCAACATCAGGCATCTCCCTGTTTTGGAGGCTGGAAGGAACTCAGGAATTTCACTTCCTTAGTTCTCCCCCCCCCCCCCTTAATAAGATTCCTCTACTCCTCTGCATTTGGAAAGTTATGGGCAACCTCATTAGAATGCATTCTAAATCTCTGGTAACAGTAAAATGTTTCTTATATAGAAAGACTGTTGCTGTTGCTCTGCAAGATCTTTGCATTTCATATTATTGTGCAACTGCATCCACTTATTTGTGCATTCACTTTTGTATGGCCAAACAAGGGACAAAGACTCAAAGCTAAGTATTACAGTGCATTCTAACCATCCTTTTGAATAAAAATCTAAATCATTAAATGGTATGCCTTTATAAAAACTCTTTGAATATCTTTTCTTATCAATGCAATGTATGCTTTTTCTTTCAGTTTTGCACATAATAGTGTGCTGGTGACTGATCTTTAAAAAATATGTAATGTCACCAAACTACAGGGAAAACACAGATTATATCCTTTCTGCTGAGTACTGAGAAATGATCAAGACCTGGTCTTAGGCTGCCTAATCTCTGTCGCTTTTCCCTTCATGAAATGATAAGCAGTTAGCAGATTTTTCATTAACACAGTCGACTAATAGCTAGAAAATAAGATGGAAGAAAAGGATGTGAATCGGAACCTGCTTTAGTACTCTCCTTGGGTCACAATCTTTTGAACATGCTGTCAGAACTTATGTAAAATGCATATTCTTAAATAAAATGCTTTATTAGTTTTGTGCTTTGAGGGAAAACGGGTGGGAAGCATTCCTGGATATATTGATGAGTGGACAGAACTTGGACTTGAATAATGCATGTGATCTGCAATGGCTCTTCATCCCATATTCCACTTACAGGATCAATAATGGTGCTTACTAGTTTGTGTTATGGCAGTTAGTTACACTTAACTTTCCATTTTTCCATATTTTGCAGTTGTCCATATTTATCAGAGCAGATTACACCTGCTATTCCTGCAGTAGGAGCAGTTCTGTTCTTTTTTGTGATGGGAACCTTGCTGCGTACTAGCTTCAGTGATCCTGGAGTCCTGCCCCGTGCCACACCGGATGAAGCAGCAGATCTGGAAAGACAAATAGGTAACACAGAAGGTCTGTCATTGTCCTTTCACTTCTTTGTAACTATCTGCATTCATAGTGTAATTATATACTCTAAGAATGGCAACATTGTGTATTTGGTTTTGCTTTAAAGCAGTGTGGCAACGTAGATTGGGTTCCCAGTCTGGCCATCTGGGACTGCCTGATGGCCGTGCCTTCTTTGTCCAGATCATCAGTAGATTGGTAGTTTCCTGGCTTTTGCATATTCCCTCTTCCACCATATTCAGAATGGTTAAAATGACTATCCGAAAGGTTAGTTCCTAACAGTAAGAGCTTTAAGCTGTGGGCAGGGGAGGGAATGGGAGAAAAAAAATATCTCCAAAGCACTAGAGAGCACTCAAAATTTCAAATTTAGCTGGTTTACAGATTTAGATCCAAGATTAGTAGATGCTGGGTTACAGAAAACATGATATTGCTGCAATTTTCTTTCACTTCCCTTTATTTTGATGGCAGTGGTGACAAGCTTTACTAGTTTGAACATTTTCTCTCCACAACCCTGGCAAGCTAGCTATGTGTCTAGATGTGACCTAGGGTTTGATCTAGACTTAGGTCTAGGAAGATGCATTTTGTGATGCACACACCATCATGCTTTATCCAGCTTCTAAATAATACAGACATTTAAGTATGTAATGGCCACTATATTGGAAAAGATGCATTGTTGACTACCAGTGGGTCTGAATGGGTTGGTGTAAATTGGTGTCCTGCACCAGCAGGAGGTTGGACTCGATGGACTGCATGGCCCCTTCCAGCTGTTCTATTCTGTGATTCTATGATTTGATCATGTGTTTGATATATGAAAACCATCTAAGCACAGGTATCCATGAGATTGCTGCATCATTATGCATTGAAGAAAGGAAAATCACAGTCCCTCCTTCTTTGGTATATAACTTACAGATGGAAATTCTTTTTTTGCAAACCAAAAAAGACACTGAAAAATCCATAGGTAAGAAGCAAGCTTGTTTCTCATATTGGTGTTTCAGCATTGTAGCCAATAAGAACTTGATTTCCCTTTAAAGGAGAACTGTGATAGTATACCCTGGAAGTGCTCATAGATGTAGAAATCTCTTATTTGTCACACTTTAAAAAATCTTTACAATCTTCCCTCAGAAATTCGGGACAGGAAGGCACTATGGATGATTCTTCTGGTAGTGGCACTTCTAACCCGACTCCAAGTTTTATCTGAACTGTGATTTAGTTTTCCATATGATGCTTTCTTATCATTATGAGGTTTCTTTAAAGTAGTGGTATACCCAAGGCCTTGCATGCTGTATTTACATCACTGCTGTGTTCGTCATGTACCTCATCCATCAGTTGCTATTATCAATTATCAACAGTGTCCTGCACATTGTTTTCATGAACTTTCTTTAATTTGGAGTGAGCAGCGGCACATAATGACTTTCTAGATGACTAGCTGCAGTAGATGGAAACTGCTGTTATTATCAAAGGTTTTCCTTGCATTGGCTTTATAATACACTAGTGGATCACAACAAACATGCCCAAACAGATGAGTGTAGTAATCTAGAAAAATATTTTAATAATGAAAACAAAAGTGTGATATTTAAGAAGAACCCACAAATGCAAACAGAGTCTGTTTAGTTTTGCTTTCAAAACCATATACAGATTTTCTGCATATGATTGCATTTATCACTGCTAAGCTGATCCACAAACTACTAGAGTGAGTATAATGATGAATATCAGAGTGCCCAAGTATGACACCAGTCACTCAGAGAATGATACAGCCATTGTTTTGGCCCAAGGTTTCCAGTACAAGTATATAGATGCTGCTGCTACTGATGCTGTTAACAAGTAGTAGTACTTCATTTTCAGTGTTATTTAATCCTGTATTCATCTGCAGACCTTTATGTTGTTTCTCTGAAACCATCTGCCAGTTAAAAAGCTTTAAACAGTGGCTTTTAGATGTTTCTTTTCTATGCTTCTTGACCCCCAAGATTTATGGCACAACCCACTTCTTAGTCAGAACTGGGCTACCTGCCTTCGCCCCCAACCCCGCACAGACTTGTGGAAATAATACAACTAAAACAGCTTGGAAGCAGCCACATATGGTGAAATCTATTTTCGACACAGAAGGATGTACATTCTGTTCCTTTAGTTTTTTATGCTTTAGTACATTGATAAACTTTTTGAAAATTAAAATTTTAAAATTACAAAACCTGAATTAAGCATATTTTAGCATTCCAAAAGATACAAACATTTGTGAAGAAGTCTATAGGAAGGCCTGCCCTGAAATGTACATTTCTGGCACTGTTGCCAAAGTAATGTATGCAAAAATTAATGATTTGCATGATTTGTGGAATGTCATCTTGCCTCACATTATTTAATCTTCAATATATTACATATTCAGGCTTCTGAACACTGTAAGCTTCAAGTAATTAGAAAGGATAGGTCTGGAAATAGAGCATATCTAATAACATATATTATAAGTAGTCTAAAAATAGTATGCATTGGTTTATTAAGATACTTTCTCTTCGATATGATAAACATATCCTAAACTACCAAATAAATATAATTTGAACATTTTAACACTTCGTAGACAGTTACTTCACTGGAGGAGACAGGTTTTTTGCCTTTCTCAAAAATAAAATTAGGTGTTATGTGTTCATTAGAATATCATTCTGAAATATGCTAGCTTAAATTATCACTTGTAGGCATAATCAGCATGGCCCACATAATTCTGCTTATGCAAAGGAGATAATGGGCATGGATGTTCCTTAAAAAAACAGGTATTTTCTTATCATAAATCTCTTGTTCTGCCAAGAATATCGAGTGCCTGGGAATAGGTGCACCCTTAAGGAGGTGCCACGACCCTCACTTGTACTGAAACACTTAGAAGAACATCTTGCAAAAATGTGAGAATAGAAAATAACTTCCATAGCCCCAGAATCTCTATCCTTTCCTTTATGCCAATGTAGGTGAGCTCTTTAAGTACCCCCATGTGCTGTATTGGTTGATTCTCTTTGAGGAATTAAGAAGATATTCAGCATATCCCCTGGGTATCTGAACTACTTTAAATAAGCCTTTTCAGCCTTCGTGCTGTGAGTTGGATGCTCACAGTTGCATTTGGATGTAGCATACAGTCCTGAGGTAGTAAGTTTGCCCTAACAGGCAGTCATCAGTGTCTTCTGACTGACAGTTGCAGCTGTTCTAAAAACAAACACTAAGGCCAATGTGGTATGTTCATCATGCACTGCCTAATTTTCTTTAGGACTCTGAGAATCAACTTGGTGGGCAAAAAGGCTTATAAACCCCTCCTGAACCATGTTACTTCTAAGGCATCCACCACTTCGGTATGTGGGCAGTGATAAATGAACATAAACCAATCGACTTCTCTTGATTCACAAGAAGGTCTATCACTGGAATTGCCAGACATCTGGTATTCATCTGAATTGAACTATTTTCTAACTGGATTCTTATGTGTATCAGCTGTTGGAGTGGAATCAGTGAATTCTTTTCCTTGATCATGGCAAAGTTATGCTGACAGAGACTCAGAAATATGGTCATCTGATCCAGTTCTAAGTCCTGGAGCTGGATTGAATGAGGATTTCATCCTATTAAAGATAAATAAAAATTCCATCTCAAATGATCCACTAGTGTAATTACATCTTTTGTGAAAAGAGATTTCATTACAGTAATGGATCATTTGAAGGAAGAATATTGAACTGAAGATGGCTCTGGACAGAAATGAGTTGCATCGAAGAGCATGAAATGTCTACAGACACTATGAAATTCTAACTTTCAATTGCTGTCACTATGCTCTTCAAGAACTTATATCACTTGTTCAGTAAAGAGAATGGGCTGAGCAATCAGCTCTTCCAAGACTCCTCTGGGGGTGGAGGAAGGGGTTTGACAAGAGGTCTAAACTGACTGCCCAGTCCATTACCAGTACCCCACCTGTATGAAAGGAAGAAAAAACCTTACCTGAGAAAGGTGAAGAGGGATAGATGTGTGTGGTGGGTGAGTCGTAATAGAAGGGGAGACGGGGAGGGGAGGGGAGGGGGAGAGGGGGAGAGAAGCTACAAGCACTAGGGATTCAGTAGAGTTCCTAATCCTGAGGCAGGACTAAGGTAGCTGGGAGCTTTTCCCTTGTAGAGGTCAAATTTGCAAGTGAGACCTAGAACCCAGATAAACTTATCCTGTTGTTCCATGGATCTGTTTTTTGTTTAGAATTAGACTAAAGGTAGAGAGTATGATCTAGCCCTTTTCTCTTTGGTTTTTTTTTCCTTTTTCTTGTGAGCAGAAAACCACGAAAAAGCTTTGTGCATGTTTAGTGAGGAGCTATATTCCTTACTCCAATAGGTGAACGTGTTGGGTTTTGTGTTGAAGGACCTTGCTGAACTGCCTTTGTTACGAAAAATGCTAAGAACTAAAAAGAGGTTGAATGCTTAATAATGTGAACAGTCTTCTTAAGTTGCCTTGTAATGAACAGAATGATTCCTGTGAATAGAAGGGATTTCTATCCAATAGGTGTTCTTACTAGTAGAATTGTGTGTGTTAAGGAGGAGGAGATTAGGTGATCTTTTTCTGATTTCTGTCCTTCCCACAGCAAGCCCCAGTGTCACATCCCACACAGTTCTGGAAGTTACCTCAACCATCTGGACTAGTTTTTTCAGAGGGCACAGGGAGAAAAAGGAATAATTAAAACTCTCCCCTCCCACTTCTTTGAGAGTGTCTTATGAATGGAGTTCTACTTACATGAATTTATTGTATTCTGTTGCATGTTGCTGCTACTGTTTTGTATTGCTGTCCTAACACTTTTGTATAGGATGGGATAAAAATGCTCCAAATAAATAAATGAATAATAAATTTAGGATCCAAGCCAAGGTGTCTGGGCATATATTGTAATTCAGCAAAACTGACTTGTCAGACCTCAATATGGGCTGCTTCATATGTTGAAAATTATTAATTTCTTAACAGTATTTATAAACT